ATCGTACTGCCTGTTTTCTCTCATCAGCCCAGGGAAAGTCTGGCTTTCCTGACCTCCTGAGTTGCCCTGTTCAACGATGTTGAACAGACGAGTGATAGTGTACTGGTTGGCACGAAGGGCCTTGTAGAATTGTTGCACACTCATATGAAACAGAATAACCACCTCGAGCACAGTGACAAGGAGAGCAAAGGCAGTTAGCCAAAGCATTTGCCAGGACTGCAAATGGACTGGCATACGCACTAGTACAAGCTTGTTGTAGACTTCCGGATCGTCCAGTAGATACCTGTAGGCACCTTGCGATGCATTAGTGACCAGTTGGAGGGCCATATCCACTCGATTTCCACCGGGCGCAGCCAGGCACACAAGCAGCTGAACAAGCAGGGTGACTGCAGCAAATTCAAACGCCAAGTAGATACTAGTACCTATGAGAATGACGGAAGAGACGTAGGAGAATGTTGGCCATGTGGACCAGAAGGCACTCGCGACCCGAATCGACAGAAAAATTAGAGACAACAGATAGTTTACAAATTCTGGAGACACCGGACGCGTCTTCTTCTCAGTGTCTACAATGGCCGTTCGAAGAGGTGGTGTCACAGAGAACAGAGAACCCGATGAAGAGGGCGCGATGGCAGGACTGGAGGGGATCTCAGATCTCTGAATATAGTTAAACACGCGCAGTTTCAGTTCCGAAGCCAATCGCTCCTGATCATATGTCTGCGGCAGTTGGCCTAATCCACCCAGACTGGGCGGCTGAAGGGCGAGAAGAGCAGCGATCCCCAGACGGGAGCCCGTGGGCGTCTTCTGCAAGACTTCTGACGCCAACTGCGCAACTTCTGGCCTGTTGAGATGTGCCGAACGCATATTCTCGCTAGCTGACATTATAGGAAACATGAAGCTGAGGTCGGTTTGCCAGACGAGACCTGTTAAGAGGGAAAAAGAATAGGTTATTAAATACTGAGTCAGTACTATGCGAGGAGTACCTAAAACTTTCTGAAAGAGTTGGAATCGGGCAAGAAGACAAGTTAAGAGGTCGCCCAAACATGAAGAAAAAGCCGTCACTATCTGTCTGGGAAATAGAGTCAAACTTTTTAATGTGAGACTCAATTCCTAACACGATATTTGAACAACAAAATTCAAATACAAGGGTTTCGTGGGCACTAGAATCCACAAGGTTATTGCATCTTAACTTCCTCAAAAACTAATCACTAGTTTGGATTAAATCAATCTATCTGAGAGTTTGTAAGCGCATACTGAAAGTTGATATTAATATTTGGGTCAAATTCTATTAGCCACAGTCGGAAAGCCGCGAAATATTCATTGGACTGTAAAGCGGCAGGCAGTAGTATAAGGATTACAAGGTGCAACTTATGGACATCACAGGTACTAGCTAAAAGCCCAGACAGATGTTTTGTCGATATTTTTCCGCTGCTTGACACACCTGCGCGATGGTCTTTCAATTTCCCTAGAAATTAATCGCTAACATGGAGTATAAATCTTCCGATAGAGGGATTGGCTCCAAGTTGGCAAGTTCTCCCTGGAAAAATTACAATGTAACAATTTCTCAACTGAACTCATTGCAAGAAAGCATGCAGGGAACGCTGGGGCACCCAGTGTCGTGCCGGACCCTTTCGTAGCTGTGTCCAGCAACGGCAGAATATTGGTGCAACCTCTATCTGGGCTTTAAGCTGGTTCTTATGTGGTGTATCCTGTAGTCCGTAAACTCCTCGCGGTCCAATTCGATCATGACAAAAACAAATAGGTGCCACACTTACGTAAAAAGTCGACTGAATGATTTAGTGTACTGTGCAATACTGCAGGCTACGCAGCTGGTTATCCAGACAGACTCTGCCTGAGAAATATATGGACCTATCCCTCAGTAAGCATACAACTAGCGAGACAGCACCTAGATCAAAATCTGGCTCCGGAAAGTTAGACTTCAATAAAAAGACAACCATTGGGTGTCAAAACATCACTTTGGAGAAAATTGCTAGAAACAATGGCTGCGGTAACAATTCTAAGCTCCGGTGGCTGGAATGAAGATGGAGAGGAAGAAAGAGAAGAAGAAGAACAAGAACAAAAAAGGGAAAGATGATGTGAGAGTTTTGCGTGTTCCATCGCTATTCCCAACATTTCGAAATTATTCTCGTGTCCATCATCAAAGGCAAATGACAGTGACCTCTAAGAACATTGCTGACATTCTCCTAGGATGCCATCTCGGGGTTGCTAAGCATCTGCAGCCAAACATAGCCAATCCTATTTTTTGATAACCCGGGATTTGAACTAAGGCTTTTTGCTCATCGAATACTATTTTCAAGTATCATTCAAACGCTCTATTTTTATAATCAGTGAAACTACGTAATTAGTTTCTATACTGGCAGCACCGGCAGTATTAGTTAAAACCCTAGTCACGTGTTTCGCCTACCCGCTGCCGCTACGCGGCACAACTGCGAGGGGTTCAGCGCAACATTAGACACCATCAGCATTCCCTGTGTGCTTCCTGATTGATACGTGATTACGTGCGTATCGGTTGAAATTTCAAGAGGGGTGATAAAAAGCTTTCTTAAAAGCATGTATGTCCTAAAGAACGTAATTATAAGACATTTTGGTAAGACATCTGGCAAAAGTAGCCTATGTAGGCCCACTCATTAATCCCTACAGCCTGCACGTTTTCCTACGAAAACGGTGGTTATAGGGTTTTATGGGTGGGAAA